ATAGATAAATGCCCTGAAAATTTACAGATGTGTACTTCACATAATACAAAACCCAATAAAAAAGTTTCAAAAAATAATAAAATTGTTTAGACCCCGAACTAAAGTGAAAACAAAAAGTAAAAAGTGAAAAAATACGTGGGCGAGCACGTTTTGACACTGCCATCTTTGACGATTTTTACTTCTTATTTGGCTTAGCCAAATGCCTTGAAAATTTACAGGCATGTACCTCACGTCATAGAGAACTCACGAAAAACAATTCAGAAAAACATTATTATTTTTAGGCCCCGAAATAATTTTTTGCGGGGGCCAAACACCGTCGGGTTCGGACCCCGTACGGGACCCTGAACGCCCGTACGTACGGAGGTCTGCCCGGGGACCTCCGTACGTACGGTCTGGTGACCCTGCTAAGCATAATAAAACCCTCACATCACTCATACCACAAGCATTTTTTTGAGTTCATGGTGAACTACATCGCCAACTAAACACCAATACCTCAACCATCTATCGTGCACACACTTTCCAGTTACCTCAATCCTGCAAAAAAGTTCATTATCTACGAAAGTAGGATCAGTGACACCAAACAAAATTGCCCTGCCAACTATTCAAAATTTTAGTGTAAACAAATTGCGCATTTGAAAAAGAGCCTCAGAGATACTGATGGCTAAAACCACCATTACTTCCAGAAAGTTTGACCCGTGTTTGCGCTAGCATGTGTTATAATATCGCGACGGTTAATCATGAATGAATCCATTCACGCATGCCAGGTTTATTCATCCTAACGCACTATAACAACATATACGAACAAACTTATTTGAAGTACGGGTAGTTTAACTGATTATACTCTCTTGTTCAAAAGGTCAGATAACATTTGTGCTTTGTGCGTGTATAAGAGTATGAACCAGACCATAATTTAAACTAGGACCATACTTTACACGCTTGACATGACATTAATTGGATCTTGTTTGCGAGGAATACATACTTATCGCAAATACCTGTTATACATGCAATATTTGACGATGGTCAATGTTAACCACCTCGGCCTTCGAGCCTTTTATTGCCTAGGAGAAAAAAAAATGATGTACCAAGCTTTGTCGAAAGCTTAGTGCGATAACACTACACACCAAATTAATCAAGAATAATTGGTATTTCAAGTTTTTCGTGAAAGGTACTGTTGGTTGTGGTGGTTGAACCGTTGAAGTAATCACTCTTTTAGTATCTCACTATATTTTGTGCTCTAATTGTTGCTTGTAACTTTACTGTGGGAAGTGACCTTCTGGAGTCTTACAAGAATATGGGTTATTTGTTTGAATACTATAGTCTTGGACTTTTGAAACGATCTGAGACGTAATAAATTCAACTTTTACTCGTGTTGAGATTCACAAACGCATTCTTAATGAAGTTTGACTTACTCGCATTCGTTGATTTTGACAGCATATTACGAGCATCGGTGCGTATTAGATAATCTCATCATCTCCCATGAAATTTTGCCAAGCCCGACAAGATGTGGATGAAGAGAAAACCCCTGGTGTAGACTCTTTTTGTTGAAGGAATTATGGGTACAATTCTAGGAGCTCCTTAGTGAAGAATGTATTGACTACATTGAAGTGACACAAACAGAAGGTTCCTTCGATGTATGATACAAGGGGTCACCAAACTCCTTTACAAGAAGTGGAACAAGAAAGACGTTAGGAATTACACACCTATCACTCTCCATCTGGTCCTCTGCTAACTGGTAATCAATACCTTAATTAACAAGCTTTTATTGCCGATAAACCAACTAATTCATCTTTTACCAAACAGGACTATGCCCAACTGCAATATTAAAGATAATTGTTGGTCAACGAGACCATCAAATATGCCCTGCAATATTAGGTTCACGTGGTGGTCTTCTTCATAAATTTTGAAAAAACGTATCATCACGCGGAATGCGACTTCTTGGGCATGTGCCTCATTAGGATGGACTTTGGTCCGACCTTTCCATTGGGTTCAACTGCCCCACAAATCCACACCTTGATAACATCACATTGAATGACCAATTATCGACACCGATTTTCCTTCAAAGGTTTGTGCGCTAGGGAGACCCGATTGCACATCTACTGTTTGTTATTGTCATGGAATCCCTTGCATCCCTTATCAAAGCCTATCCACAGATTCATAAGGTGTTCATCCCCGAACTGTCGGAGAACCTAATACGGTCCTCGTACAAGCAAATGTACGGACCTCCAAAGCCTGACTCATGTCATACACTTGTTCTCACTGGTTGCTGATATGAAAGTCAACTGGTGATCTACACGGAATGGTGGTGGCTCCACCCATAAGGAAGACACCCCCGTTTGAGCTGAATATATCACGGATCAAAAAAGAAGAGGCTATAAGGACCCTGGGGTAAGACTAATAATTGATGGCCCCCCACAAGATCATGGGGACACACTAGATAACATGGCACTGGATCAATTGGCTAGGTGGGAAGGCTTGCACACCTCATTGATTGTCGCAGTTAACTATGTTATTTTAGCAGCCATTTGGTATAAACTGATGGTTGATCTTTAAAACCACAACAACATGCCTTACTAAAGAATGCACTCACAAGATATCTATATCAGAACAATGCAAATGCTAAAGGTCGTGTGTACCGCGTGAGGTGAGAAGTACTGATACACTCAAGGAACAAGGAGGGACTAGGGGTCTTAGACCCGAGGAGGAAGAGCGAAGCTTTGATTTTTAAAGTCTTCGTGAGACTCTTGACAGGTCACGACATACTATGGGTCCACTAGCCTGTATACAAATAAGTAACCTGACCTCAATGTCTGCCACGACCAATTGGGTGCACCATCTCCAATGGTTGACAAACAACCACTGCCCATACCCTCCCCTCCACAACACAGGCAGACTATCAACCTATGCAAGCGATCAAGCTGGACATCTCCATAAACCCCTATGGCCATACATGCTCAAGCTTTGAAGGACGAACGGTTTGTAACAAACGCCACCACCCAACAAATGACATGAAATATAGCGGCAACCCCTCTTTGGGAACCGCCACATCTTGGACGAGACTGGCAACCCATTCTTGGTTACAACCAACTCGCCATGGCTCACTTGGGTCAAAAATGGTATTTTCACAATTGTCAGTCTTTGGGACCTAGTAAAATGATCCAGTGCTATGTAGCTGCATCAAAACCTGAGGTATGCTAATAACATGGAAGAAACACTACACTAGATAAGGGAGCCAATACCCATTATCTGATGACTTGCTCTAGAAAAAGGGACAACTATCCAGCAAGAGTATTGGGCCATCAAGTATGACGATCTCCCGCTACTACTTTTAAGTGCAAAAAAATAACAATTGAATATACACACTTGAAGCCTATGTGCCTCAACAACCGGGTGCAAGGCTCTCGAGGCTGAAACGATACAAGGACCTGCATTGGATTGCAACATGGAAGGGGCTTATAAAAATTAGAGTAACATGTGGGTTGCCGATTCGTCGATTTACGACTCAACTCCAATCCACTCTCGTTACCCAACCTAAAACGTTTTAGACCTGATGATTTTTATTGTTTTATTTAGTTTTCACTCAGATTTTTACCGAATGACCATTTAACAAAGGTACTAAGAACTTATTTTGGAAATTTGGACAAATACTGGGGTTCGCATGCAACAGAAAAATTCCCACGAGAAATGAAAGTTGAAAAAAACATTCCATAAAAAACAAATTCTTAATATTTATAAATTATTACTCCAATGTTCATCCAATTCTAAAATTACCAGTTTTATTTGATAAGCTCCCGTCTAAATATAAGTTTTCCCTTCCAACTACATCTATTTGTTCAAGATGGAATGAAAATCTGAACGAGTTTATGAAATGTTTTAATAAAACTTTCATTCTACCACAACAAATATCTTCTAATTTAGATTGGATTATTCTGTTTATTACTGAAAATCCTTACTTAGAATGACATTCCAATTAAGATCTGCGTTGCCACTTGTATGCACTCTCGTACGAGTACGGATTCGTACTCTTGTACTCGTACGCTACTCGTACGCTAGGGGCCCCGTACGAGTTTTTTTTTTTTTTTTTTTTTAATAATCCGGTAATGTTTTTATTTTTTTTCTCAAATTCTAATAAGAATCTGAAAATGATGCTCAACCAAATGTTGCTT